TGTTACTAGTAGTCACTTCCATTCTTCCTCTTCTCTTTTTAAATTGAACTGTTACTGCTACCACTACAATTACTATAACAACTACAATGTACATATTAATGACAACATTTGATTATAATGTACATACCAATTATTATAATTAGTAGTGCAATTGATATCCCAGAAGCGAGTCCAATAATTGATGAAGAAGAAGATATGAATGAAGGAGCTGTCAATGAAGAAGATGGTGGGGATGAAGAAGAAGCTATAGAAGTTACTGATGACAAAATTAAAAATGAAGAAGTTATGGATGAAGAAGATAGAGATTAAGATAAAGAAGTTGGGGATAACGAAGATAAGGATGAAAAAGCAATGGATGAATGTGCTATAACAGATGAGGATGAAACAGTTGAAGTACCTATGTATACAATAAAGTACATTATAACTACACAAATGAACATACACTGTACCTGTCACTAATGTACTAGTTAATCTAGTGGTACGGATAGAAGTAGAACTACTGATGGTAGGAGTATCTGTGCTATCATCTATGATTATGCTACTTCTAACTTGTTGTACTGTTGAAGTAGTTGATACTGTTGAAGTAGTTGAAGTAGTCAGCACTGATGAAGGAAACGTTTCAAATTCAGATGTAATTGACAAAGTTGGTACAGAAGAAGTAGGCGTTCTTTTTGGTGAAGATGTCATTGATGAAGTAATTGAAATTGTTGAATTAGTAGTAACTGTTAAAGTGAAAGTAGTTGGAACTGACGAAGTAGTTACTACTGGTGAAGTAGATATTGGTACAGACATCATTGAAGGAGTAGTCAATACTGTTGATGTGAGTGATACTGATGATGAATGAACTAATGACATTAGAACTGAAGATGTAGAGCTACTAGTAATATTAATACCAGTTATTACAGCAGGAGAATTAGATTGACAAGTAGATATGGTTGCACATTCACATGCATACAGTGTTAAGTTATTACCAGCTGGTATGTTAGTAATACACTGAATAAAGTTCAACTGATCATTAGGAGATATATCGAAACCATCAATAATATAGTCTACATCATTAGCAAGCAGAATTACATCAATATAAGGTGTACTGCCCCTGACATATTGAAACTGAAGACAAACAGAATTTGATGTGATATTAATCAATGTGAATTCCTGAAGATCATGAGTACCTTAAAATAAGTAAATATCATAATGTATTAATTGTGTATTACTTACTGATTGTTATAGTCTTGCTTTGAA